AAAAAAAACAAACTTCTCCACTGACCTGAAGCATAACTTATTCGCAAGTAACCAGCATGTAATACTCATTGCAACTTATGTACACACTTATTTTAATAGAACAGATTTCCAAATGTTTGTACCTAGGAATGAAGCATTAGTTATTATTAAAGCAAAACATTAATTTATCCCAGGAATTTCTAAATGTGAAATTTTGAAATGTCGTTGTTATTTAAAAGCTCTTACTCTTTTGAACCCAGTTAAGAGAAAATTAAAGTACATTTACCAATATTTTATCATGAAACAGTGTAAAAAGTACTATGTAATATTTGGGGCCAAACTACATTAATGGTGCAGGATGTAGCTGAGACTGTAGCTGGTTTTTTTTTTTTTTTTACTTTGGAAGTGCTGTGGGGCAACCAGGTAGGACATTTTAATCCTTCCCTCCTGGATCATGGCAGTCTCAATTCAAATAGGAACTTGTGTAAATAAAACTATCAGACTGAGTTATACACTTAAAATGTAGCTTTCATCTTTATAGAACTGGTCATACATTTTTCAGACCTAAAGTCCAATTCTGTCCTCAGATAAAATGCATATCCAACCATCACTGGATCTAAATTCTTAACACTCTGTTTGCTTAGCAACATTTGTTCTCAAGAGTTTATCTCTTGGGCTTTTTGCATAGTGTCTAAGATGAAAATAAAAGTTCATATTCAGATAGTGTCAGCATATGCAATTATTACTGTTCTCTGAAGAACATACTATGTTTGTTTTGAAACATAGGATAGGATGCATATCTGATATTTCTATATTACAAAATAGGCACCTAAAATAAAAACCTACTCGTTCCTGGTGCACTTCTTATAAGCTTTAGTGACAGAAACAAATACACAATGCCACTCGGGATCACTTCTTAAGCAATTCAATATTCCAATAAAAGAGGAAACTCTTTCAGATTTAAAGCTTCATTAACTAATCATGAATGAATTTTTCTTTGAAAAATAAACCCATTATTAACTCCAATGTTTTGCCTGATTCTTCTCTCCCTTTCCTTGACCTGGTTTGCATAATTAAAATAAGTTGCCATGATTTATTTACTGGAGGGTATGGGCATTACTAGAGGGTGGTCTTCCCCCTAAGGAACCATTTTGCCCATCTTCAGATGACACAAAAACTTACACCCAAATAGCAATTATGGAAACCATGCACAGCATACCATTTTCTTGGTGCCCATTTTGTTAGTCTTATTTAGAATAAGTCTACTGAAATAAATGAGGCTAACTTAAGTCTCATTCTTTTTCATTGCTCTCATTTCTAGTTGTAATTGTTTTCCTGCTTAAGACTTAGCCAGTAACTTAAACAAATGAAGATTAAAAGAACTTTTTTTTCCTTTACTATGCTTACTATACTAAAAAGTCTGCTTGTTTAACACATCCATAAAATGTGTCAAATGGAAGATTTGACTAATGAATCAAACAATAATTAATGAGGAAGAATTCATTGGAGACAATTCACCTTTTCCAAAGCCCTGCCTCCCTGTTCCAGCCTCCCTGTGCCACAATTCTCCCTTCATGAAATACTTCTACTTCATTGACACTAATGGGAAGGAAAATAATTATGTCATATCCAAGGCTAGCATCTCCCCCCGCCCCCCTCTGTGTATATGTTTCACTCTTTTTGAGTGTGTGGCCTGTGATTCAATCAACTCTAACACCCTTTTTACGAACTGTTGCCATAGCACCAATGGCAGACGAACAAGTACAATGGAGGTGTCTGATACTATCTCTGGTATTAGGGCTCTGGTAGTAGGGAGTCCAATTATAGGCTATGGTAGCAACATATAAAATCAAATAATAAAACAAGTAAATATCTTCAATATCCTAAAAACCTCTGAGACACCTTCCTAGGACCTGAGGAATGCGTCTTAAACCTTAACTAAAAATTCTGCAAGGCATCAGTGGCCTCAACACATACTACCCTTCTTTTTTCTTCTAACTTGTTAAATAAAAAGGCAGGATATAATAATTATGTGAACCTGCATCAATTCACAAAGGCAAAAAGGGAACACCATGATCTAGCCATTTTCTTTGCGTTTAAGAACTGTAGTGTGGAAGCTTCCCATTTGGAAGAGCCTAAACCTCCTACAAAGGAAAAGCTGAGCCATGCAGCATTTTCCATGTCCAGCTACTGATTCAAATATGGGCATTCTCCCCACAGTCCTCCACATGCCCATAAAGATGTCTAATTCTAAAGCTATGCCCATCACAGGTTATGAATATTTATATATGTGCATCTCACCACCAACATAAGAGCTAACATGTATGAATACTTTTCATTTCATAATATATTTCTGTATGGAGTGCCCCATTGCTTATAGTTATGTTCTTCCAAGATGTATTTCCCACTTAAATTTCATCTGTACTTCCTTCTTTGTGAAGTTGTAATAAGACAGGAATAATTGCTCAGAAGAAAACCTAACATATTGATCTATCCCAAGGGGAAATAGTCATTTTCAACATTAAAGTAGAAATGACGTAATCTACATTTACTTGAGAAGTGTTATATTTTCTTCATTTGAAATCTACTACTATGATAATATGATGTTCCATGTAAATTTTCATGTGCTGGCATGCCTATAAGTTAGTAGTGTAATAAAATGCTCAGCTCTCATAACTAGGGTGTTTCAAGGTGAATTGCATTCATATGCCATCTATTTCCAGAGAGAATATGGGGTTTGGCAAAGCTACATGCTGAGCAACATAATAAGATATTTGTACAAAGTACAAGTTACTGATTATTATTGTATTTTATTTTTCTATGATTTCCTAAGAGGCATTATCAGGTCTTACACATGGAGTAAGCCTGTTTACTAAGATATTTATTAGCAAATAAAAGTACAGTACCGGTGGTTATTTCTGAGTTGGAGTTTTTTTCTTTTTACTGTTTCACTGAAATCTTGCAATGAGAAAATAAATAATAAGTTCATATGGGTCATAAAAAATGTAGTTGTTTTTATTAAAGCAAGTCTATACTAAAACCAATAGCAACCAAAATAACCCCATGCTGCAAATTTTAGGACCAAATGCCAAAGCAAGTCTCAGGTCGCATCACTTTTTTTCCTCTTTAAAGGAAATGTTTGGGATCGAAGAAGACCCTAGGTCCTACTTCCTTGTGGTTTACAATCCCATCTGTCTCACAACAGGTGAGACAGTACACTGACATCAACACTAAGGTCAGTAGTGCTAGTTCTCTGTTGCCCTGTACTGCTGGTTGAAAGGAAAAAAATGGGGGGGGGCACTTTTGAATTTTATTTGTGAACTACTTTTTTCTAGCTGCTTTAAAGAAAAGGGAGCAGAGATTGAGGCCACAATCCCACACATTCTCATCAGGAGATATGCTGCAGTTAACCTTTATGGGATTTCCTTCCAAGAAAAACTGTTCCAAATGTAACTTTGCAATTTACATACCAGTTGCTTATAAATTTGCTGGACTGACAGAACAAGTGCCATAAGCAAACTGAGGAGCAACTGTTTCCAGAGTCAGAATCTTAATACATTCAAGTTTGTATTAACATGTTGTATCCAAGAGGTATTTATGAGATTGCACCTGCTTGCTATTAGGTTTAATTGTGCACTTTCTGCCTCTAGAAAAAGGGAACTCTCCTTATTTCCATGCATGAAGATCACTGAAACATGTACTAGAAGACAATATTTCTGGCTTTTCCTTATTATAATTGTTTTCCAACTATATTCATTTACAGTACAATATAGGATGGGTTAATGTGGGTTCTCTAGAATCAGCGCAGATATTCACATTCATTTTAGTAGAAATACAAAGTGTACCACTTGGTGGTGTCTTTCTACCTGCATTCTAAATACAAAAGCAAAAACACTCTAATGCTTTGGTGAAACCCTTGGATTGCTTATAGAGAGCAAAGGCCACTGGATTCTTGTGCAAATAGATTAGTGCTACAAGCAGTATAAAATACATTAAAACTGAGAAAGAAAACTGTGCAAATAGAGAAATGAGAAGCCAGACATTCTTGAAGTTTCTGTTGTTGAAAGAATATTAAGAGAAATTACCCTATAGCTATAGCAGTGCATCAACAAGTCACAGCAATACTTCTATGCCTGCAAGTAAGTAAAAAGGAAAAGGATGGAATATCACACATACATTCCTATGTAAGTATACACATCGTTCATATTAACTCTGAAATGTAACTAACAACTGTTTTTGCTACAGCATACTAATGAGGCTACCCCCCCCCCCGGAAATGGGTTAATATTAAATGCTATTTCTGTCTCCCCAGGGCTGAAGTAAGAGCTACTAGGTATAATTTTGTTCTTCTGTTTTTATGTTAAATTTTGCACTGCTAACTTTCATTATGTTTCAATGGTACATTTTATACTATTTTTAAGATGTTTTTGTGCACCGCCCAGAGAGCTTCTCCTGTTGGGTAGCTTAGTAAACAAATAAATAAGCAGATCGGTGACGAAATTCATCATTTTAGCATGGTTGTGCTAGCAATCAGCCCCAAACAGATGGAAACAAGAGTCTCTACTCTTCTTAAACCAGGTCTTGTTTAGTGTGGATTATGTTTTTGTCATACCAGTGCCAATGAACGCCATTATTCCAATACTGCATGCTTTGAGGGCAGAGAAGGTTATAGCTAGGGCGGACTTATGAGAGCCCGGCAACTGATGTGGATTTCCAAGCGAGCACCGTCCCCTTACAAATCATTCCTCAAGTTGCCGCAAAAATCAATCTATTTGTATTTCCCACTTCCCGCTCGAATCAACTGCATGCAGAAGCCTGGTTCTCCGTGGACTTGCATGCAGGCATGCTGCATTTTAAAAGGTTTTAAAAATCGGTTTTCTTAAACAAGTCACATGCTGTAACCCTCAAGTTAGAAAAAGCTTATCTTCGGTGCTAAGGACATAATACTACTCATTCACAGCCACACTAAGATCCGGGATTCCTCCATTGCTCAGAGTTATCAACTCCCACTTCCGCCTTGGTGGAAGGGAAGGGAGGAAAAATCTTTTCTAAGGGAACTGTGCGTTGGAATATAATTGTGCGTGCTCCACGCAGCCTACGGTCCGCCCTCTGCTTCGGGCAATAGCGATCTCTTGAGCTGGAGGACCATCGAAAGCACCACCGAAAGGAGAGGAAAAGCGAGCCTTCCCCGCGGAAGTACGCGATTCCATCTCCTAGGTAACCAACAACGCAGGCGTCTGGCCGCGAGCGAGGTGGGTGCCCGTCCGAGGCCCGGCTGCAGGCGGCAGCTTCGGTTGCCTTTGCGAGGAAGCCTGGTGGCTCTTTCTCCGAGGAAGAGGTAATGGGAATAAGAGGCGAGGAGAAGTAAGGGGAGCATGCGCGGCCCTGGAAAGCTCTTCTCTCGGGGACGAGCCCGCGCCCGTGCTAGGGGTAGGCGGTTCGCTGGTAGCCCCGGCGTCTGGTAGCTATGATTAGGATTTAGCCTGGTTTTCCTCCCAGGACTTCTGCGTAGCGTGCGTGGCTCTGCCTTCCCCGACGCACGTTCCATTCTGTCCAAACAACAACCCTGTGAGGTAGAGTAGGCTAAACGAGAATGTGTGAGGGACGGACCAGGATAACTCAGGAAGTTTCACAGATAGGGATTTTTGAAACTGGGTGTTTATCTCTCTAGACACTATACTATTCTTTGCCTTGTATCGGATAAAAATGTGGTGCCCAGGTGGAGTTAGAAGGGTGAGAAGTCCACAAAAAAACCCTTGTGAGTTAGAATAGAGGAAACGTCTGTTTCCACCTTGTCTCCTCTGGCCTGCCTGCTTCCCTGACTTGCGCAGCTGTGTAGGCAGCTTTTAAGAGGAGGCATCTTGCCTCCACAGTACATATGGTAAATTGGTAGAAGATCAAAATCTGTGGCTTTACAGTTTAATCCTATCCAGGACTATTTGTCCCTACCACTGAAAGAACTTGGTCGCTCCACCAGGCCGCAATTCTGTGCACATTGACTTGAGAATAATTTCTAGTGAATTAAAGCTATATTGATTTTGACATGCACAAGATTGTGGGTATAGGATGATTGCAGGGATTGCTCAAGCAATCTTGAAAATGGTGCTGCTGGATTCTAAACAGAGAATTTTGATAAGGGGAACAAATCATTATGAAGTTAAATCTATCTAGACCATTTTATTCATATAGTATTCCATAGTAAAAACTGCAGAGTTGGGTCTGCAGTGTGAATGTTTCTTGAGTTCTATTTGCTAAAGAAACTTTCCTTTGATAAAAATGTTGGGAAGTACTATTTGAGTACTTTTAAAAAAGTTTTCATAGCTGTTTTCCAACCATCTTGTATGCATTATAAGTTTGCTTGCCATTTCTAATGGGCAATAGAGTTTCCACACTGATGGTGCAACAAACACATTGCTGATTTATTGGTAATGTATTTATTGGTATTTTCATTGCTGTAATGCATATTACACCTTTCCAGTATTTCTGCAGCGGAAACAGTGTATTTTTAAAAATAAGGATTTGAGGAATGGTTTCTCAAGACAGTAATGAGGAGGACAAATTAGGATTGGTTCCTGTTTCTCCACAAGGTAGCTGTGTCTTTAATGATGGCAGAAATTAAGCTAGTGAAACTTTGTGCATCTGTGCATTTCCAAGTTGGTGAAAATTTCTTTTGCTTGAATTTCTCCCAGCCATGCAGCTGCGAAAGGCTCTGGATCCTGCTTTATGGGATAGTGGCCAGATGTCACTTCTGAAATCTCTGCTGATGTACCCTGCCAAATATAGATGCTGTGTTAATTTTCGATCTTCACTCATTTTGGTTTATTAAAAAATGTTACCTAGGGTAACTGCTGTACAATAGCTGTACATAATGTGTGTCCCTAATACCACGGTAGATATAGCCTACTTTTAAAAAAACTGTCTAAGAAATTGCCTAACCAAAGTTGTCCTTAATTGTACCCAAAAATTGTCACATGAGGCAACTGGTTCATTGCTCTATTAGGTGAAATAGCCTCTGTAAAAATATGATGAAATAACTTCAAAATAGGGTTCTCTTTACTTTATGATTTAGATGTTATAGTTAGGACATTTGTTTAATCATTACAGGATTCCGCTCATACAGTGGATGCTTGTTCCTCACTCCCAGACCCTGCCCCTGCACACCCTTCAAACCTGTTCTAGATGTTTACCATCCCTCTGGAGCAAATGTGGGGTCAGCATTTGGTGCTGCAGGGGAGATTTGATTGAGCAGTACTTCCCGAAGGGCACCATTAAATATAACCCTGTCTTTGGAATTGAAACAGCTTCACAAATTGTGAATGTTCCTGCCATGTCAGTGCTTACAAAGCTATTAGATGCCAGTTTCCAAGCCAGGTGGCAATATTAAACTGCAGGTAAACTATAGCAGTGCTGGGTACAAAGTGAGAATATGATTTGCAGACACTCCAGTTTAGGGAGGAACTGGTAAAGCACATGCCTTATATACAGAAAGCCCCAGGTTCATTCAATTACTGACATTAGCAGGTAGGGCTTGAAAAGAATCCCATTTGTAACAGTGGACAACCATTGTTGAGTTAGTATATTGGCCTAAATGGATCAATGACTCTATATGAGGCAGCATTCTGTGTCCTTATTTATTTCATTTTTATACTGCCCAAATACTGAAGCTGTCTGGGCAGTTAACGAAGTTAAAAACACACACCAAGAAAGACATAAAATTAAGATAAGAAAACCACAGCAGTTGGCATAGTGGTATAACAGCAGTTTATTTAGTACAATAAAAACTAAAGTTAGAAATTAGCTGTTAAAATACTGGGAAAATAAAAATGCTTTCACCTGGCACTGAAAAGAATAAAGAGAAGGTGCCAGACACACCTCTCTGAGGAGCTTATTCCATAACCAGCTTGCCACAACTGAGAAGGCCCTTCTCTTGGTAGCCACCCTCCTTACTTCCTTTGGAGGGGGCTCCCAGAGAGGGGCCTCTGAAAAATATCTTAGGGTCTGGAAGCAAAGTGTTCCTTCAGATTGACTGGCCCCAAGCCATTTAGGACTTTGAATGTTAATACTAGCACTTTGAATCAGCCCTGGACTTCAACTGGTAGCCAATGTCGTTGGAAGAGGACTGGCGTAATATGTTTGAATAAGCCAGTGCACATTAACAATCTTGCTGCTCTGTTTTGAATCAACTGAAGTCTCCAAACCGTTTTCAAAAGCAGCCACATTCTTATACCATGGACTACACAGCTGTAGGCCACTGCATTTGGAGATGTAGTTTGTATAGGACTGAATAATAAAATATTGATATTGGCCAGGATAATATGAGATAATATATAGCTGAGACCAATTTTAGTAAGGAGTACTTATCTCAGTACTTTGTAGTGAGTGCTGTGTAACTTGACCCACTTGCTTGAGAGAGCTGGGTGCCTTCAATAATAACAATATTTCTCACAGGATATTATTATTATTAATATTATTTTCCAGGAATTGCTGGCAAGGTTCTCTTCCTGAATATGATGTGTGTTAAATTCTAAAGTGATGAAAGTGTTTCCACTCCTAGTTTATGTCACCCTCAGGGTTGGTTAGATGTACTTTTGTGACAATGTCCAGCCATAGCTAAGGAAGCAGATGTTCTTGTGATCCTAATTTTGTTCAGAGTAAGGTTCCTTGTTCTGTCTTTTCAGTAAGTAAATGCATCCTGTGAGAAATAAATTCTTTTCTGCAAGTGGATTTCCTAAGCTGGTTGCCCCACAGTTATCAATTGACCTACAGACAGTGTACTTTAGGCAGAGTGATATGTAGCCAGACTGCTTTGACAAGAATGCTCTTTCCAAATAATCAGCTTAACTTCTAGTTACTTATATTAACTGACCTGCTGTGACATTGTTTGTAACTGTTTTCTGTCATGATGTTTTTCACTTTGAGGAGCTTTGTCTTTATGTTAATCTACTATAATTGCAACTGTCTTAAATAGGGATACTCTACACAAATACAGGAATTGGCAGTGCCATTCAGACAAAATTATGGGATTATTTGACAAGCTAGCAGGCTGGCTTGGCCTGAAGAAAAAAGAAGTTCATGTTTTGTGCCTTGGGTTGGACAATAGTGGCAAAACAACAATTATCAACAAGCTGAAACCATCTAATGTGAGTATCATTTTCAGTTAATATCATATGACATACTAAAGCTTGTTTGACAGACCTTATTGAAAAAAACTCATGGTTATTATTACATATATTTGTAGAAAAATGGAGTAAATTTGTTACATGTTGGAATACTAATGTTCAGGATAATGTTCATTTAGATACACTATTTTCTTTTTTTGGAGAAAAATAGTTTTTAAAAAATGTTACAATTTTGAAAAATGGGAGTTGTCTTACAATAGTCTTGCTTTGGGTGGTTTTTAACACATTTCAATATATGTTTACTCACAAGTAGGTCCCACTCTTCATGGGGTTTACTCCCTAGTAAGTGTGTTTATGATTACAGCATAGCCATCCAATAAAGTAAAACAAAGTTTCTGTGACAATCTGATATAGAATTATAGCACACCTCAAAAACAGGTATACAGTGAAAATATGAAACACTACCATACTATGTTTTTTACTCTATAGATAAATTAAAGAGTCAGTGGAAGTTAAAAGCAACCTAACTGTGATCTTATAGGAGGCATGCAAAATTTAATCTGAAACAAAGATTTATTGCTGTTCACATTTGGCTTTGCAAAGGTTTGCTAATGAGTTTAATTTGATTAAAACATTGTTAGGAAGCAAGCAAGGAAGCAAATGCTATTTACACACACCTTCTTATGTGCATCTGTATTTCTTTGGTAAATTCTTTACGATCTCTTCTTTAAAGCATGTCTGCAATGGCGTCAGCACAGGGGATTAATACAAATAATTGCTAGGTTAATATCCTGCTTTGTCATTGCTTCATAAAATGGGCATTGCATTAACAATGAAATAGCAATCTAAGCTCAAAGTATTGGTTTCTATTACTTAGAACAAGTACTGAAAGATAATTCATTTTTGCTAACCTACAAACATAAAGTGCTTAATCATAGAAATGGTTATATACTGAGCTTTGTGTGCAATGCAGAGCTTCTGAACTTCCTTTTCAAAAGCAGTCACTATCCCCTGTACCATCAAATAAATACCAGCTTTTGGAGAATTTTCGGAATGGTATATGCTGCAGCACAAGGAGCTATATTAGCCAGAGGTAGTAAATAAAGTGAAATTCTGGTTCATGGAAAGTATTTTGCTTGTTTAAGATGATCTGTGATTGCATCAGTTGTTAAAGAGCTCTAAAGACACAAATAAACACTCAGTGCCCATTCATGATGCACCCACTCTGCTGATTTACTAGTAGGTGATCAAGATAATCCCTATTTCTAAATATAGTTTAACTTGTTAAAGGAGATACTTTCTAGCTACATGAAAACATATTACTCTGTGTGTGAGTGAGTGAGTGAGAGAGAGAACTACAAAAATAGAATCCCAAGCACCCCAAAAGAGATGTAGAATAGAAAGGGCCCTAATTATTCCAGTGTCTCTCAGTCCGGTCATACAAACATGATAGATATTACATACATTGTTCCTCTTTAACTGACACAGCTTCCATACCAATACATTTTTCAAAAATTGTGAGCACCTGTAATTACTTGTGAGCCCTTGATTGCCTTAGAAGGTATTAATTCTACAGTTTTGTTTTTGGTACCAACAGAGAAGCAGTGGACTGAAATAAATACTTAGGCTTGAAAACTGATTTAGTGCTGATGGAAGCAGATATGTCTACTATTCTTCCCTCCATGCCCATATGCTACAGAGAGGGTTGGGGACCCTGCTGAATGTGTGGTGTGAAAAGGATACCAGAAAATAGGGCAGAGACTATTTCCATCCATGAAAGTCAAATCTGTCTCAGACCTTTAACATATAGTCTGAACACTGCTACCCAACATTTCTATAGTATTTTGTATGCTATATATAAATGTACATGCTTCACATATTTTCTTTCAGGGATCCTGTGCTCATCATGGGTCCTTATCCAGAAGTACTTGAGATGGTTGCATAATCCCATAATGAGCAATAGTGACATTTGCAATAATTCCACCTGCTGCAGGAAGAATTCCATTTACCAGCAATCACTTGGCAGTTTAAAAAAAAAAAACCCTTAATTTCACTCTGATACAGTAATGGTAATAGTACAGTAATAGTAGCATAATAATTTCTTCCCCAATATGGTAACTCCAGATGTTTTGGACTACAGCTCCTTCATCCCTTACCATGACTGAGAGTGATCTGAATCATAGTTCAAAACATATTGAGGGAAGCTGCTGTAGTGGAAGAACATCATGAAGGAAGATATCTGTATCTTGTCCACTATGGTTCCGCCACAACAAAATGGCAGTAATTTCATGGTCATGATTTAAGATACAGATCATTGAAAAAGACTGAGAAGAAGCAAACTTTAAAAAAAAGCTTTTCCCTTCCTTTTCTTCCCTATTGCTGCCCATTTCATTGACTGTCATAAATTGTTTGAGTGTCATTAAATAATACCTTAAGCTTATAATATTACCTAGATCAGGAAAGATTGTAAAAGTTTCTGATTTTAAATATTAAACCTGTATGTGAATTTATTTTTTGCATAAATTTTCTCTTACAAAGGCTCAAGCTCAAGATATTGTTCCCACAATAGGATTCAGTATAGAAAAATTCAAGACATCAAGGTAATATTCTTTTTTTGTATATTTTTCCTAATCAATATAATTGTATATTAGGATACATTAGTTGTAACATTTGTCTTGTCATATCTTTATCCTGAGCTGCATTATTTCTTCCTTATGAGACACTTCTTATGAAAGCATTGCAAGTTGCAAAGTCGTGAAATTCTGGTAGAAGTACCATGCTAATTAACTTGAAAAGGAAATTATTACAAATCTTGTTCTAATGTGTTTACTATAATACTGTTGCCATTTAATTTATTCTCAACTGATATCAAATTAAATGTAGATTACCTTTCTAAAATCACACTAAAAGAAATTACTGTCCAGGATTCAAGCTGTGTTACGGAGAACAAGCATGTCTAGTGATGTTTTTGACGCTTTTTGCCTGACCCAGGTGCTATGCCATAACAAGAAATACTTTTGAAAGCATAAAGACTGCTCTTCAAGAACAGAAGCTTAATACTTAATACATTTTTTTGGATATGAGCTGCTGTTACAAATATGTAAATTTCAAAGTGACTTCAAACTGAAAATTTGCAGTTCCGGGGCTATGTAAAATCAGAACTGTAAATGTATACAGGATTTCAACCTAAATGTATCAGTGGTTAGACTGAGGAATTGTCAAGACGAAACGAAGGGAAATAGTGAAATTCTTGGGATGTCCTGATCTCTTTAGCAATGTAAGCATCTTTACGTGGAGATAAGTCTTACAGGCTGTCCATCTATGGTTTGTTTAGCACAGCCTTCTACCTACCTGCTGCCCAACAGAAGTTTTGAACTTCAACTCCTATAGGTCCCAGCCAACAAAGCTAATGATCAGGAACAATGGGGATATAACACTGGAAGAGCATCAGACTCAGGAAATTTAGTTTATTATAATGTCTAAACCAGCCAAAAACAAGCCTTGGCAAATGACTCTGACTTGTTAGAAGAGCAATAAGTCAGAGTTTGCCATTTTTGGACATCATGCTAAACAAACCATGCATAGAGAGTCCTTAGCTTGTCGAACTGCTCCCGCTGGCAGGAGCCAAGCAGAAACAGTCACTTGTGTGCTTGCTCATTCAAGGTGAGCTAAATAATTTAAAATGTATGGCTTGCCATGATGTACAAATTGTCCCACTAAGTTTGCTTGTTTCCTAGTCAATTGCTTGTTTTCCTAGCTTTCAGAAAATTAAGATAAAAGCCAGTTTTGTTATAAATGGCTTTTTGTTTGTCAGTAACTAACTTTTACGTTTATAGTACAGTCCTTTATATGTTTATCAAAAAGTCCTACTATGTTCATTCAGGTTGACTCATTATTAATAATCTATAGTATTGCTAGATATTATAGTAATAATTTATTAATAATCTAATCTATTTCAGTCTGTCTTCAATTTAAAATAAAACTTGAACTTTCATATAGCAAACATTGGATGAGATACACAATCTAGTGCACAGGTGCAAGTTTCATTGTGTTCAGTAGACATGGTAATTGTGTATATGATTCCAGTCTTAAATAGTTTCCAGTTTTAATTTTACAATTACTGTTTCTTTATAGTTTGTCATTCACCGTATTTGATATGTCAGGTCAAGGCAGATACAGAAATCTCTGGGAACACTACTATAAGTAAGTAGTATTGTATTAGAAGACTGATCTTTTCAGTATTTGGATATATTTTTATTAATTTATTATGTTAGTTGTATTTGTTCTGTTTATTGTTATGTTTAACTATGTTATAAGCCATCCTGAGATGTTAAGCCGTCCTGAGATGTTGTTAAGGATGGCGTAAAAATACTGTAAATAAAGTAAAATAAATATATCAAAAACTAAATGCCTGTGATAGTATATATGGGAAATTTATGAAGATGACTTGGTTAGTGCAATTACAAAGTGATATGTTTGAGATGCTGCTATTTGACAAAGATAACTTTCCGAGGCATCAAACAAGGAGAAAGAATAAGAAATATTTAGAAGTAATTCTTCTACAGGTATATAGTGTTTACATTGTGAAAATAACTGTTCCTGTATAGCAATATCAAATCTGTAAAACAGTCATGTTGACCAAGTTGCCAGTATAAATGTTGCATAATTAAAATCTCATATTAAAAAGATAAAGAATGAAAATACTGAGCTTCAGATATAAGAGAAGGTTGGTTACCAGTTGTTTAGAAAATCGTTAAGATACAGGTCAAAGGCACCAATGGGGAATGCTGCTATCTTAAAACCCATTGTGTTTAGAACATGTCTAGAACATGAAGACAATTTCTTTATATAATATGTTAAGGTAAAATTTAAAAGGTTAAATGGCACCTTCAACATAATGATTGAACAAACTGTACCAAACTCTACTCTACTCTTCTCTTTCTTTTTTGTGACAGCACAATCCAGTGTAGCTGTACATTGCCCTCTGAACTCAAGAGGGATACTTTCAACCTATGGAGGGTAGAGGGTATGCAAAGATGAAGGTCATTTTTGTGTTCTTCCTGCTCTGCAAAATATTTAGCCAGCCAATTTTGATGCACTGCCAGGATGCTACATATGCTCACTAATCCTGTCCCCTTCCCACATGCTGGTATGCCCATAAAACTGCATCTCCATGCTAGTTTTTGCCCCCTTATACTGCAGCCAGTGCTTTTTTTCTCTCTGCTGGCCACAAGAGGAGATCACTCTGGAGCTCCTGATCTGATCTCAGAACAAGATTCCCAGGTTGGAGCTGGTGTAGTGCCTCATGGCCATAGGACTGCACCTCAAATCAATGAGTTTTGGTTTATTTCCCGTAACTTAAAGCAATTTAAAACAATGTTGTGAAGAATTCTAAATTAGTTTTTATATCCTGCCTGGGCTGTGCCAAATTGTTTGCCAGGTTATGTGGATATGTGGACTGCTTTGCTGTCTGTTTCAGCCGAGCAGTACTTTTGTATGAAAAAGTTCTGCTTGTGTTGACACAGAGAGCATTCTCTTTAGAAGTTCACTGATATTAGAAGTCTCTATTCACATGTATGATTTGTTATTTTTATTAAATAAAATAAAAAGTTAAATGTGAAATTGAATAGATGGATAGTCATACATATAAAACTTCAGTACAGAATTTCCTGTACAAATAAGAAAACATATGTGCATTGCATTAAATGAAAATAATAAATTGTTTTTATTTATGTCATATTTTTCTTAATTATCCCTCCCCCAGGTGCTGTGAATTTGTTGAACTCAGATTTTAATGTCCTTGCCCTAAATTGTATATTTTGGGTTTGTTTTTGAATGAACCAATCTTTCATTGTTGGAAGAGAATTTTCCACTTCTGAGCAACTTAAATTAGTCCATTGACAGCATTTATTAACATAGTAAATATTTATTCAGGTTGTGGTCATTACCTAAGTCTACCAGATAAGCCAATAATTAGACCCCAAGAGCCATAATTTTTTCACAAAATAACATTTAGTCATAAAATAAACTCATTAGATATATCTTATCCTGCTCCTCCTCCTATGTCTGGACACTGCACCTATATAAGTTGTGTTTCCTCTGTAACAAAATGTTTACACAACATAACAGCACACCATGAGTGAGTCTGTGGCACATGTACGCTACCCTTTTAAATCTCCAGTCTCTTCTGAGGGATTGTCATGTCATTCATGCCCCATAAGCATGGGTTATGTGAGAGTTAAACAACAACCCAAGGTCTGTGTAATCCTCACTTAACCCAGTTTGCACAACTTGACAACCCTTAGTGGGAATGACTAATACCTTTGCTTTATAACATAATCTAATAGATAGCTTTGTGACTTACTTCATAATTAAAGCACCTGTTTAAATGACAAATCACTGATTAAATGAATTACAGGGTAGCTGCATTTGTGGACCAATGTTAAGATCTTGGTCCACAAGAAAAGTGCTTGCCTTTTCTAGATTTTTTCCAATTTTTTTGCTCTACCAATAAATATAAATATGACTGTTTTATATCGGTAGGAAAAATATTCAATAACTTTGCTGTGAGAAATAAACATTGACAAGAATTATAGCCTACAAGGTACCTGCAGATTTAATTTTGGTAGTATTCTGCTCATTTGGTAGGATTGTCTTTTTGGATTAAACATGAGGAAGTAAGTAGTTGATTTAAATTGGAACAGTAATGACCAAACTTTTAAAATGTTATCTTGCTGTCTAATGAAGTTGTAGTTGAATACTGTATTTACAAAATAAATTAAAGACCAAATTAAGCTGTGGGACATTAGCTTATGCCAAGACAGATATTATGAGTACTTGTGGGTGATGTAGGATAATTTTGATCTGACATTGAAGACTTTTTCTTCTCAAATGGTTATAAGAAATATGATCAGATGCGTGGGAATAAACTTTGCTGCTTTCCATCAGTATTTATGACTTAGGAACTGGATTTCACCTCAAACTTAAATCATTATCGCAATTCACACAGTGGTTGGGTGATGTGATTATCTAAGGGCATAATCCTGTGGTCAGTTAGACAGCCACAAGACAGTCTAAGTCACTCTTCCAAAATCCCTTGGAATGCCTGTGTCCTTGCAGGTTCAGAGTCGGACCAACCTAGGAGCTGGAGGTCTCAGGGCATTCTGAGGGACAGAAAGGGAAAGTGTGAGGCTCTGTCATGATGCAAGGTATCCTGGAGGCCCCTCAGCCTCTCTTCCTTAAGGCAAAAGTCTTTGGCTACCTAACTGTTTTGCAGGGTGAGAGAAGCACAGAATCTTCACCTCTGAGCTGTTCCAACCTCCATTGGATGCCTATAATCCTCCAAATATTCATATTCTTTCCATATTGTTTCTTTCAAAGAGTTCTCTTATATGACAGCTTGTGAGCGAGACAATTAAGTTTCTAAAAATATACATGTCCAAGTTTTGTTGTGGCTGAAGATACTTTGCTATGGAAGATACATCAATAAAGCCTTATGTCACTGACTTTATTGTTTTGAAAGTAATCTTTCATTGTTGGAAGATTGCTCTATTGCAGGGGCCCTCAGACTTTTTAAACGGGGGGCCAGTTCACTGTTCCTCAGACTGTTGTGGGACTGGACTATAGTTTGAAAAAAAAGTGAATGAATTCCTATGCACATGGCACATATATTATTTGTAGTGCAAAAACAATGCAATATTTAAAATGAAGAACAATTTTAATCAACATTAACTTATTCGTATTTCAATGGGAAGTATGGGCCTGCTTTTGGCTAATGGGATGGTCAGTGTCTGGTTCCATATTCTCTCCTCTCCTCTCTTCAGAGCCAGCGCATGCATGCAATAGGGGGAAGAGCTGGCATGTGCGCAGTTCACGCTGGCAAGACCAGCACAGCACCAGGAGCTGGCTAGAGCTAGCAGAGAGAGCCTGCACACACGCAGTTGAAGAGAGCTGCGCTGGCTCAGAGCTTTCGGACTCATTTGGAGATTGTTTTCTCCAAACGAGTCCGAAAGCTCTGAGGCAGGCAGGGTAAATGACCTTGGCGGGCCGTATCTGGTCCGTGGACTGTAGTTTTAGGACTCCTGTTCTATTGTATTGCTTTACTGAAACATTTTTGACAAACTAGTAACTTTTTAAATTTTTATTTAAACTACTACAATACAAAAATATGTCATGAAGAATAAAAAGGGAAACAGCAGCACAAAATCTTCCACTATATTATAAAAAACAACTAGTGTAACCCTCTACTGGAACCATGGCTATATAATATTTATTCCTTCATTTCTTTCTTTTCCTTACCTATACTTCTAAATTTCCACTCTTTCAGGAATACCCCCTTCTATCCAAAATTGCATTGAATCAATCAAAGATTAAATACCCTTTCCTTTTATTAATACATGTTTAATAAATGAGCCCCCATATCATTAAAATCATTCTTATTTATCAACCATTTTTCACCTTAATCCCACATGTCAACTTTCATTGGCAGCTATATTCCAGATTTCTTTATACCATTCAATTAACTGGAGATCCCATTTCTCCTTCCGGTTCTTTGCTATTATGCTGCTGTTACCAAACTAATTACTAATTTACTAGTTATACAGCTTTTAATCTTGTCTTTCAATTGTAAAATTAACTTTAATATTTAGTTGGCCATATCTCCTAGACAGCACTGTTTGACTACAACAGAGTATTGATTATTATGTTCAAAGGGGTATCTTCATATATTTGGGGGGAAACTATGCCAATTTTGAAAATAGTCTGAAGTACAGGATGAACAGACAAGAAGTATTTCTTTGAGCACAGTCTAATACAGCTGCCTGTAAACCTTCAACCTGGAGGATTATGAGCATCCTATGCAAGGTGGGAGGAGCACAAGGTGAAGGTCGCCTCTGTTCCTCATGCTCTGCAAAGCAGATAGCTGATTTCAGCTGACTGTAGTAGTTCAGATCAAAGGAGGTTGAGGAGGGAGGTTGGTCACTCCTAGAATACTGGGATTCCTTCTCGCAGATCTTATTCTGAGCTTTATAGGGGCTATTCATGATGCCCCATGGTGGTGAGTCTACTTTAGCAAAGAAATTTGGCATCATAGATATCCTTTGTAAAGTTCCAAATAAAAGTTGCAGTGCATAAGGAGCTCCCTTGACATAGGAGTTAGGCAGCCTCCCTCAGCCACCAGGATACATTGTACCTTGTTGGCACTGCTCCCATCCCATTCCCAAACTCTTTTTCTGAGGTTGCTTTTGTGACCTTGGCAAAGCAGCAGTTTTTCTGCACGATTTTCTGCACAAGGTGTGTGTGAGGAGGATGCTCCGAGCATGGAGCTCCAGATCTGACATGGGAGCTGTTACCAACACCAGTGCTGAGACACTAAAAAATCCTATGGCCCTCAAGACACTGTTCAGTGAGCATAACATCGTTCTCTTCAACTCTGTGCAGAATTTTATGCTTTTCAGTAGGACAGCAACACATTGTCACTGATTGCTTACTTTGTAACTCAACACTAAAGAGTCTGTAATTGCTGCTTTCCTTTCTGTATTGTACAGAGATTGCCAGGCCATTATTTTTGTCATTGACAGCAGTGACCAACTAAGAATGGTTGTAGCCAAAGAAGAGCTTGAAACTCTCATGAATCATCCAGGTGAGGAGATGCTTTATCATTCATTCAGTCCTGTTTCTATTGCCTATAGGGCTATGGGGCAGCATACAAAGGTAATGAATGAATGAATAAATAAATAGCTGTAATTTTTTACAATGTTGTAATTATATATATAAAAATCATTTGCTTCTCCCTACCACCCTCATTAGTAGAAAGCAGAATAAAGATTTTAAATATTGGTACCAATATATTTTTGTAGTTAATTGAAGCATCAGAACTATAAAATTAGTTTAATAGAAGAGACAAATTACTTCAGCCAATTTGCTTTAGTCATAAATTTCAAAACTAAGAAATTAATTGAACTTCATTGAAGTTACTGAGAACTGGGGAGGCCTTGGGTTAATGCCACTGAATAATCAAGAGGCTCAAATATAGCAAGGAAATTGAGATCATTCTTTTTGTAATTGATACTGTATGTGTACTTATTGTGTATAAATGTGTCAGTCTGATAGTTGACTTTGAGTTCCCGTATTATTTCCTGTTGCTTCTGCGGTTAACTGCTTAACAGTTCTTTTGAACACATGGATATGATGATGCATAGGAGATTTTGCTTTCAGTATAAATAGTTTGCACCTGCAATCTTAGACATATGTACAAAATCGGGAGAGGTTACTTTGAGAATTCTATTGAAACATGCACCTGAGGATAGAAAGGATGACAGTGACAGGCAAGCAATGTCTATATCTCTTTTCCTTTTCAAATGTGTTTCCTCTGCGTTGTGACATGGTTAACAATTACTATATTCCTTCTAGATCTTAAACATCGCCGATTACCAATTTTGTTTTTTGCAAACAAGATGGACCTCAGGGATGCTGTTTCATCTGTGAAAGTCTCTCACTTATTGGCCCTGGAGAATATCAAAGATAAGCCATGGCATATCTGGTAAAGTTTTATCAGTTTTCTTCATACATAAATTGATTTGTATTGTTTTAACTGTTTATGTAGTATTAATGATTTTATATTTCAAATAAAGTTGGATAACTGATCATAACATATAATTGAATCTGCCCAATCATAAGAATAAAGCATGCCGAATTTAGGAAATGCTGCGGTTACCAATGTACCACAGTAATGCAAAAAGCAAGCTATCATGGCCATATGTGTTCTTCTAAGTTAAGAGAATAAGGGTATCTTTTTATATTCAGTTTCAAAAATCAACCCTGTATTTTTTTAAAAGCCCAGCTTCATTTGTCTATATGTGAAAAATTATTAGTCCTCTTAGCACAATAACACAGTAAGCTCATGGTTCCTGGAAAGCATCCCAGGGATCATAGGATTTTTGGATTCCCCTTTCTCAATCTAGAGACAATGCTGAAACTTCAAGAGAGAACCACACAGTCTGATTCCTCCTCAGACCTCAAATATATCAGGGAAAGAGCCATAGTGTCTGCTCTCCCAGACATGGAGGACCTTAGACAACTGTAAGTTTAGAATCTGGCATTATTTTCTTCTCCAAAAATCAAAATGGCAAAATGAAATGGTATTTAACTCCATTTCTTGATTAAAATCAGATTAAGAAAAGTTTTCTAATCAGTTTAACCAAGCACAATTTTGTACAGTGTACAGTATAAGCATGATTTTAAATCTCTGAAATGATGACCAACTTGGTAGTCTAACTTAAGCAATTTTGAACTGGATTTTTTTCCAGTGCAAACAAGCTTAAGTTATGTAGGGTCCTTTACTTAGGAACTTTTCACTTGCATCAATATATGTATTTTGTAGCCCTCCAGATGTTTTGCTCCACAGTTCTCATCATCCTTTACCATCAGCTTTACTGGTTAGGCCTGATGGGATTTGCAAGCCAAAACATTTGGAGGAGCATAAGTTACCCACCACTCCCCAGAGAGATTGAATGTAACATGTTTATTTTACTTATTTCATAATATAGTTTTAAAAAGTACCCATATGTTCCAGTAGACCGAAAGTATTTGACCTGAAATAGCTGCGGAAAAAAAAATAAGTGCACTTAATGTGATTTAAATATCATTTAGAATACTTGGAATACTTGTTAACATTTAAAGCCAATAGTATGTGCTTCCTTTACATAGTTCAAAGAGAAAAAATTGTTGGCCCACTAATAAATTTTGGCAACCCAAATATTGTACATGATATACTGACAACTCATCTGTTTCAACGGAGTTCAGATCTCTTCCACTGAGGTTGTTGAGCACTTTCAGTTTCACTGTCACATTTATTAGTTCAATTTCACAGCGAGTCATATATTTCAATGACATGTATATGTTTTCACATACTTATGAAGGATAATCACCTGAAAATAATTACATGTTTGAAGCTGCCAAACATATCTAATATTGTATTGCAATTGCCATATACTCATTTTAAGGACCTTCTAAAATAGAAAATAATAAAGCAGTAGAAAAGTTTTCCTGGAACAATTTGTACTTCACCTTAGTCAGTGCTCTTGTTTGACATAAAAAGAGGCTAATTGTCTTTTAGATTAATGTGATTATAACTTGTATTCAGTTTCTTTTGTTACCTTTGTCTTATTTGGTAATTATAAAGTCATCAACCCAGTTAATATAATCTTCATGGTTTAAACAAGCTGTGGTATCTTTTTTAAGTCATGTAATGTTCCAGGTTCTATGAGTCCAGTTACCAGCCTGGACAGAATTTATTGTGTCATCCAACCGCTGGCAACATGGCTGGTTTGAGTAAGAAACAACTCTCAAATAACCAAAAAACAGGATGTAGGTTGAGACCTAAACTATGTTAGGTTGCTGCTGCATGTGGCTACTCGGTGACTTAGCAAACTTGTGTGTGTGTGTGTTGTTTTTCACAAATGAACTGTCCGAAGAACCCATGGCTTGTAGTAGAGCTGTTTTGGGTAGCTTGTCCTGAGAACCCTGCACGGGTACCTTAACATGATTTAAAATGTGAAGAAAGCAACCTGGCAGGAACAGTGAAAAACCCTGCTGTCCACTCCGCACAGTAGCAATAAAATGGCAATAGTCCATTTTTTCTTCTACTTTGTTGCCTTCTTGGGAAGCAACACTGTTTTTCACCTTCAGGGAGATTTGTGGAAATTTAAAATAATTGCCCTACCACTACCTTTGGGAAGATTTACATTTTGTTTTGATTTGTTATTGCTTACAGTTAAATATTGTATTGCTTGATTGTATTGTTCAAATGTATTATTGTATTTGTATGGAATATGTATTTTCTTGCTCTATTGTAAGCCACCCAGAGACCCCTATGGGGTGGCATATAAATATAATTTTAAAGAATATTTACACAAATTTAACAGCATTTAATGTTAAAAAACGTTAGGGTGATCCACACAAATCTGCTAGGCTGCAGTAACTATTCCTTTTCAGTGCAACAACTACTGTGCTAAAGCAGAATAGTTATTTTCACTTCAGTGGATTTGCACAAATTTTCCTAAACATTAATTTTTTCTCACAAATCTTCACAAAAGAAAACACATTTTTTACCACTACTACTCCTACTACTACATCTTCATTTCTCTAATGAGCACCAAAGCATTTAATGGTGGTGTAACAGATGAAGCTGCTGAGGTAATGCTGCAAAAGCCCTTGGGATACATGCAAGGAGCAGGGAGGAGCACAAAGAGGGAAACAAGCCATGGCAAGCCACAGCACGCATGATTGTCCGGAGTAATGTGGATTAATGTATGAATGAATGAACAATCCACCATAGGTTATTTCCCACATGGCTTACTGTGATGGGCAAACTAACCCTTAGGGTTGTCTCACTCCAATGAGCCATGATGGATGACACAGTAAGCTGCGCCCAGGCAGGTAATTAGGCAAATAGAATCCCATGAAACACAGCTGAAGCATGCAAACTAGATCAGAGAGTATCTAGTGAATCTAGTTAACTGTTGACCATCATTATTATTTAGGAAGTTCTCTCTTTACCAGTTTGGTGAATATGCAGCATTTCAAGTTCTTTGAAGCTCGTACAAGTTGAGCAACAGACACTGGTACTGTTCTTCCACCTCACTGCATATTTAATGATAGCCCATTTATCTTCTTTGTGGCTGTTGAACCCTGTATTGGTATTTAGTGTAGCTACATATTAATTATAAAGATTATACTTATCATTTAGTCAGAGACAAGAAGTAGACATTGTGAAAATTGCATTCCTGTTAAGTTCCTGCCATAGAAGACAGACTATATGATGTTTCACCTCTTTGCACATATGTTGAGGCACCTCCTCCTGAACCATTTTGCTGATGCAAATACACAAGGTTCTGACAGAAAGTTCAAATGTGTGTGTGTGTTGTGGGGGGGTGGGCGGCATATAATAGACAGTTGCTCCCTCTGTGACCTACCCCCTCTGAGAAATCTATCCAAATTCCTGTTTCCAACAGGAGAGCACATCACAGGCTTGGGTGCGGAAACTAGTTTTATAGACAATATGTATTCTTCATCTCATTAATAACCTATTGTTAATCTGACTCAAAACACTAAAAAAAGTCAACTGCTAGGTCATATCTATACTACTTGCTCTTCTACATTGATGCCCAAGAACAGAATTTTAGAACATCTTGGCAAATAAGAGTATTCTGCAAACAGGCAAATTATTGAGCAACATTTGTGGTGTAGAAAAGGAAATATGGGTAAAGTAGAGAAAACTGGAGCAGAATCACTGAAGAGTAGTACAAGAGCAGAACAAAAGTGAAGAAGAGGCTGAGACAGAGACAAGGTAGAAGGGGGATGGAGATGGTGTGGGCCAAGGGAAAATGAGGTAGGGTAACATCAGCAGATAAAGAAATTTGATATAGCAACTTTTTCTCAAGTATGCCCCTTTTCTATAGCCCAGTTCTGTCATGCCTCCATTTAGCAGGCCTTCCTAGTTCTCTTATAACTCTCTTGGGAAACTTCTGATGTCAGAACTAGACATTACCAAGTTTTCCTACACCAGTTTACTTCAGTGACAGTTCCTTATGTGATTGGGAGAAACTTAACATGATGATGTATGTCATTCGATTTTACTACTGTTAAAGAAGAGAGGGCTGCTGTTTTTGGCAGCAACTTGTATCTTCTAGTTCTGATCCTCATATATTAACAAAATAGTGGTTCCTCATGTGTAAACTTGACTATTGAAAGTGCAATATTTTTGTCAATGATTTAATAAGATGTTAAAGCAAGTCCTCTATTCATTTTAGTGCTAGTGATGCTCTTAAAGGAGAAGGATTGCAAGAAGGTGTAGACTGGCTTCAAGGTATGAGTCATCATATTGCGCCTTAGTTGCCTTCCTTTTCCCTTAATCTTTCATTTTTATTTTGAAATCTGTTCCACCATTTCATTTTGCTTATTTTCTACCCATTTCTGCTATCAGATCAAATTACACAGTGAGTATCCTTACTGATGTCAGTTATTTTGACCCTTAATCCTTGTGGGTTTTTTAATCTTTCAGAAAATGTAGACTCCTTTAAAATTCCCATTTTCAATAAACCAATGTGTAGGTAATACAATTTCTTTTAACATATATATATGAAAACTAATGAAACTTATAGAAACAGTGCTTGTTGTCTTGTTGCAGTAGTAATCATTGAGCATTACAGGTATGTGTTAATCTTTCCTTTGAATTTCTTATGTTACAAAAAGAGGGAGAAAAAAACAAGCTGAGCTATATGTGAGCATCTTTGGTAAACATGGCACCATCTGTGCAGAGCATGCAAGACAATTCTTGAAATGATTGGATAATTTCTAGATTTTCTGTTCAGTCCCTGAATAGCATGTTAAGTTACACTTCTTGCAGTCTGACTTCATGAAAGTATAATCTTCCTAAATAAATGTAAGACATGTATCATTGTTTGGGCCTTAATAAGGATGTAAGCTCTCCTCATGTAATTTGTATGGTTAGAATGGTGATTCCCAAAGTGGGTGGTAGAAAGATCCAAGGGGGCAGTGATTGGTTGTTTTAAATTTGCAGTAGAGGACTAGACCTAATACAAAGAAAGATGCATGGGGGGACTAGAGTTGTCATCCAAGAAGAAAGGGGGCAGTAGCCCAAAAAAGTTTGGGGACCACTATGTTAGAACATACTTGATTATGGGCACATCCCACCAATATGCCTATAAGACCCCAAACTCAGACAATTACAATTATCCTGTGCAGAGTGGGAGTATTAAAAGCCATCTGTGCTTTCCCATTCTTCTTCTCTGCATTTTTGCTAGACACTTGGCTGCCCATCTGAGGTGCTTCAGAGGGGAAAGGATGGAGGTGGAGCAGTCTGGCCACTCCATTCTTATTCTGTCCCTGTCACCTCCTTTAACCCATCTCTGAGGTTGTTTTGTGAACTTCAGAGAGCAGTCAGTGTCATTCTTACCACACTGGCTGCAAAGGCGTAGGAGAATGGAAATCCATTCCAAGTCAGAGTTGGAAATCCTCATGTCTGAGGGCCATTGATCATTCCAAATAATCTCAGTGCCTAACCTTTATTTTCCTACCAACAACAACATTTTTGGAATAGAATCTTCTAGTAATAAATGCCAGTTTGACATTTCAGTGTAGCTTTTACAAACATTATACTAAATCCTTAGTTTTACTTGAGGGTTTCATTTGAAAAACACCACTAGATGTCAGTACAGACTGAACATTGAAAGGCAAACAGCCTTTTCAAGGTACTGTCTGTGATGTGGTTACACAGAAATCCAAGGTTAAACTTTAGTGCTATTCCATAAGAATTGTATTACAGAATTCTTAGAATGCATCAGTATACGAGTATGCTAGGCTCATGGGCTTCAAGCAAAATTTGAAGTTGCAATACGTGAAACTTCAGCTCACAAAAGTTCTCAGATCAGTGGTGCTTGTTTGTTTGATTTTTAGTACTACTTTTGGCAACTTCGTCATTTACCTCTAAACTACTTTTGACATTGCTACAGTTTAAAAAGCAGCCTAGGAATTTGTCGTGTGTACTGAAGACAGCAACACGGAACGAAGTTGTAATGTTTGTTCTGAAGACAGTTGCCTCTTTACACCTGTCTTGATTTGTACATTTCCAAATTGCTTTTGTAATTTACTTCTGTCAATATTTTCACCCAGAGGGCAAGAGTAATCTTCAGTGCAGTAACTGCCAAACAAAAGAACTGTGTTACAAAGCATTTCAGGGATGAGGGACAGAAGGCTATCTTGCCTTCATGAGAACAGCACTCCCCACTAGCACTATGGGCAGTCAGCATCTGTTAAAGGAACTGAAAACAAGCAGAACAGTGATTTGCACAAAGGGGCAAGTCGGCAAAGCTTGCAGAAGGGAACTCCACTGACCCATCCTGATCTGCCAACAAACCTTTTCATTCATCTCAGGGCTTGCTTCACAAGGTATTAATTTCCTGTTGTGCAGGCCATGGCTCTTGTCTGCAGAAAAGAAAGATCAGGAGCACAATGGCAATATCAAATACTGTCTATAGTAATGTAACTTTTGTTTTGGTTCAGGTAGTTAGCCCTCCTGTGAATACTAAAATAAAAAAGAAGCCCTGATTTAGTCAGGCATTTAGCATTTGAGAACACCTTCGTGAGCTCCCATGTTCTCCCTTGTGCACAGAACCCTCCTCCACTTCCTTGGTTTAATCCACCGCAGTTTGCTCTAGCATTCATCCAGCAAACTAGGTAGTAAGAATGAGGAAGTAGAGGAGGGGAGTACGTAAGCCTACAAAAATACTTCTGATCACCAAAATACTGTTGGCTTCATATCTAAATTGAGCCCAATGTGGCAACATTTTTGGAAGGAACTACACTTTGTGCACAAATGTAAGCACATATTACCATTTGGTTCTATATAATTATTCATAATAAAAGTAATAATGCTAGTATTCCTTAGGTAATGTAAAAAAGAGAGTTTTGATGTATATTTTCTTTATCTAGATCAGATCCAAGTAATGAAGATGTGAAAAACTAATGAGTGATGAAAGTGACATGAAGATCATTTGTAGATGTGCATGAGGAACCTGAAGATTAAAACTATTTTAGGTCTGTTTGCTCCCTTCTGCTGGCTTTGTAAAAGCCCATAAAAGGTAAAATGTTTTTTGTCTGAAAACGTACTAGCTTAAAAGCACATTCACGATGCTGACCAAAACTTAACCTGAGGTCAGAACATTGCAGTCATTGTATGCAATCTAAAAATTCTGGTGTTTTTGAGTTACAGACTCAAGAATAGACAACTTACGGTCATAACAATATGGCTTCCTAAGAGCTTCTCATTGTGTCTACTATTCATAAATGTTCATTGTGTTTGTTTGCACATTACACTAAGCCGTGATTCGGAGGGAGATGCAGACGGAAGAAATTACCATGTGCATCAAGCTCACATGTTCCCTCCTTTCCATTCCAACTTGGGCAGCTTGTCCTGAATCTGGGCATATTCTGCTCACTTTGAGAACAAGCCAACTTGAAACCGTGGCAGCTAACCAGTGTTCATTACAAGCCACAATCCCTGGTCTTTGTGACATGACAAGATTCAAGGAAGCAAAACTAAATGCTGCCAGATAAATCCTCTCATGTGAGAGGTATACAAGCCCAAGATGTACTCGTACATTGACTATGTTCACATGGCATGCTAAGCCACGCTGCAAATAAGCTGTGCAGTGTGGGTTGTTCTTGGAACAATCTGTAGTGTCAGGTGACTGGGCACACTGTGGTTTGTTCTCTGTCTCCTTCCTCTTTGGTCTGGCAGTTGTTTGACCAGAGTCCTTGATGACAGAACTTGTATTCTTTCCTTACAGAATAGTACTCCATGCCCTTCACCTTTTCAGCACTTCCTTAAGTATCCAGCTATTCCAGAAAGGAGAGATACTAACTCTGCTACCATCAATTTTCACAGCTCTTTTTCTGTAGTTACAGAAAAATTCACAATTCACGAACAAACAACTGAGATGGGTTGTTCTACCATGCAAGCCCAGTCATTTTAGCAAAACATGCAGCCTTGTGTGCTGTATGCTGCATGTGGTGCTCAACTAAGATCTTGCATGACATGTGAACTTGGTTATTACAATGGACCTTTACCAGAATAACAATACTTTTATCTTATACAAAAAATAAACAATACCATTTTATTTCTTCCATACATACTTTAGTTACATGTCAACTATAGTTTTTATAAGCAATCATGGATATTTATGAATTATTTGCTCCTCATATATGATGAATTATGTGTCCTGTAACAGATGAAACAATATTTTGATAAATAAAATACATGATTAACTTACTGGATTGTGTTTGTGTAAGATGGCATGTAGAATAGCATCCAAGAGAGAGCAATCTTTTCTGCATAAGGCATTTGCTTTGCTCATGTGATTCCTAACTCATGGCAGTTTAAGGGTTTTTTAGATGACATTGTGAACTTTCAGTTTCACCTCTCCTTTTTTTTAGAGCAGGTAAAATGGAATACTATTTTTGAAAAGAAAGGAATTACTTGTGTATTTGTTCTCTTTTGCTATAGCACAGGGACACCTCTAAGTTATGTAGGAGAAATGTTCTTTGTGTAAACTTATATTTCAATTCTGTGATAAAACCAATACTGGATGCAGTGATTAGCAATCTTGCAGGAGTGTACTTTGTTGAACTTTAAACTGCCTTTTTCTTACATAAAACTTTTTATAGTATCCATTTATGCTTATACTGTATTAATATATTTGTGAAGGAGGGACAAGGATTAACTCAAGAGTTAAGCCAGCCAGGTCCTCCCCGCAGCACCCCTTATTCAACCTTGTATTTAATCAGTGCAAAGGGTGCATAATGCATAGGATTAATCACTATGGACTAGGTTAATCACATCATTCTATTCCACTGCAGTTCCTCCTTCTAATATTTAAAAAATTCAAGGTGACATATAGCTCTCATATTCTTAACTTCAGAAGTGAAGTAATGACTGTTAGGAGACACAAGAGGATTATTGGGAAGGTGAGCAATGACAAACACAACTGTATTGCAAGAGGCTCTCTGTACAGAGCCCTTGTAAAAACTGCATATGAAATTCTTGACCACCAAACAAATGTGCAATACACAAGTACTTTGGCATGGAACTCTAACCTTATAGATGATTATAGTCCAGGGAGCCAATGTGTAGGGACCACAAAAAGGAATGGGACTTCTCATCAGATTCTATTTCTAGACATGTATTGCTGTGAAAAGGGCAGTTATAACACACTGTCTCTAAAAGACAAGGAGGACTGTGTCAATTAGTCGAACAGGCTATTTTGGAGCATCATAAAACCAGGACTTCACAGCCTGCTTTTTAGCTAAATGTTCCCTTTGACTTTTCCAATGCTGTAGTTGAATTATTATTTATTATTTCAATTTATATGTCCCTACCATAGCCCATGATTGGGGCTCTCTATGCAATGTAAAACAATTAAGACAACAGCATTCTAAAATCAATAATCCTAAAAACATTTTTAAAAATCAATACTAGAAAAACATATAACCCAACAAATTAAGCTGATTACATAAAACATTTAAATGACCATACCAAGAATTATATAAACTAAGATAAAATTATAAACCAGGTAGTGTTAAAAACAAGATTATCATTAGAATCAATTGGTATAATAGCTGGAGAAGAAATACATCTTCACCTGGTGCCAAAATGGTAACAACAATGGTGCCAGGCACACCTCTTTGGTTAGCCTGTTCTAGAGAGAGTGCTACTACAGAGAAGGCCCTTCTTCTTGCCGCCATCCTGTTTACCTCCCTGGGGGATGGATTCTTAAGAATGACCTTCTCACTTGATCTTAACAGAAAGGTAAGAACATATGGGAGAAGATAGTCCTTCAGGTACACAAAGGCCAAGCCATTTGGGGCTTTATTTGTAAGTACAAGTGCTTTAAATTGGTAGCCAGTGTAGATGATATGAAACTGGTGTAATATGGGCCTACAGACTGGTTCTTGTTAACGGTTGGGCAACCCCATTTTGAACCATTTGTAGTGTCAGGACCATCTTCAAAGGCAGTCCCATGTAGAGCAAGTTGCAATAATCCAACTGGGATGTTGCCAGGGTGTGCATGACTGTGACTAAACATTGTCTGCTAAGAAAGTTGTTAAATTAACCACAGCTGAAGGAATGTACTCCTGGCCACCAAGTCCACCTGGGACTCAACTGAGAGTCTTGGGTTCAGGAGCACCCCCAAGCTGTGAACTCTGTCTTTTAGACAAAGCACAACCCCATCCAGGACAGGATATTGGCCATTCAACCCATCTGACCAAATGCCTACCAATAGTACTTCCATCTTATCTTGACTGAGCTTCAGTTTATTGGCTGATCTAGTCCATTATCAAGTTAAGGCACTGGTTCAGGATAAATACCACCTCACCTGACTCCAGTGTAAAAGAGAGGTAGAGCTAGTATCATCAGCACATTGCTGAGACCTCAGTGCAAACCTCTGATGATCTCTCCCAGTAGTTCTATGTAGATGTTGAAGAGCATACGGGACATAGAGCATAGGGGAGTATAGAGCCCTGTGGTACCCCATGGCATAATCTTCCATGTGCCATGGTGCAGAGCAGCTGTCCCCCAGCACCACCTTCTGGACCCAGTCAGCCAGGTAGGAGTGGAACCACTGCAAAGCAGTGCCTCCAATCCCCAACCCAGTCAGCCTGTCCAGAAGGACACCATGGCTGATGGTGTCAAAAGGTACTGAAAGGTCCAGGTGCTTCCCCTGTCTCTCTCTCTCAGCAAACGTCATCCCACAGGGCAACCAAGGCTGTTTCCATCCCAAAACCAAGTCTGAAACAATTGAACTGGATCCAGGCCAAAAGTGCCTGGAGCTGCTTGGCCACCACCCATTCTACCACTTTGCCTAAAAGGGGGAGCTTTGTCTATAGTTGGTGATAACCCCTGAATCCAGGTTTGGCTTTTTTAGGAGTGATCTTATTACAGCCTCCTTCATAAGAGCTGGGACCACTCCCTCTCCTAATGAGACACTGACAACCTTCTGGACCCAGGTGCTAACCCCAGCCCTAGCTCTTCTGATTAACTATGACAGGCAAGAATCAAGGGGGCAAATGGTATGATGAACAACACCAGACACACTGTCCATTGGGTCACAATAACTGAAATTCATCCAACAAAACAGGACCAAAGAACAATGCACTGGACATGCACCATGCCAGTAACATGTTGGGACATCCCCATGGCTGTCATGGCAGCCATGAAGTCCTGAATAAGGCGGCCTTGACATGGATATGGCAATCCCCCAGAACCAACATCCTGGGGGTCCTCAAGACCAAAGGCATATAGGGCTTTACACACTTCAAAGCCTTCAAAGTTTAAACACACCAAAAGTTTGAATCAGACTTGGAAATGGCCAAAAAATCATGTGAAGCATTGGCATCACATGTTCATATTGGCCAGTCCCAGCAAATAACCTAGCAGCTCTATTGAACTAAAAGAGGTTTCTGAACCATCTTCAGAGATAGCCTCACATACAATGCATTACAGTAATCCCGCTGGGAGTTTACTGGACTGCAACCTAATCTGGCCACCAAGATTTCATGCGGCAATGTCAGATTTAGAAACACTGCTAGCCTACACACCTGATCTTTCAGGAGAAGTACAGCTTCTTCCAGGACAGGTTCAGTACCAGACAGCTGGGCAGATGAACAGCCTGATAACAATACTTCTTGTCTGGATTCAGCTTCAGTTTGTTGGCCCTCATCCAGTCCATTATCCTACTAAAACATCAATTCAGGACATCCATAGATGAAAAGAAGAGTTAGATCTGGATGTTAGCATATTGACCTTAGTCCACACCCTAGATCACCTCCCCTAGCATTTTTTTGCTTGGAGATAAAATTAAGCCTGTGGAACCCTGTGAGATAATTGCCATGGAACAGAGCAGTTAATCCTCTAATGCCATTTTCTAAAAAGTGACAATCTAACTAGAAATGGGACCACTGTAAAATAGTATCCCCAGATCCCACACTAAGTAGCTACTGCAGAATGATACGATGCTCAATGGTATCAAAAGCTGCTGAGAAGTCCAAGAGAACAGGGATGCATTTCCCATCTGCCTCTTGAAAAGGCCATCTCAGAGGGCAACTAACACCATTCTAGCCCAAAGCCAGGCCTAAAGCCAGACTGAAACAGATTTAGAAAATGAACTTAATCCAACGTGGAATTATCAGCAAACAAGCAACTGAGAACCTTCCCCAAGAAGTTAAAAGTGGCTTACTTCCAGGTGAATGACTATACAATTGGAGCCTAAAGATATACTCACAAAAGTCTGCTTCCACGTGTCAGAGCCTCTGGATTGGGATATCTGAGTTCAGTGAAACTTACTCTGAACTCAGTGCGTAGGTGTAAGTATTTTCTGATTTCAAATTTAAGTGGATAAAATGGGATTTTTGATTAGAACTCTAGATCTCTATGAGTCTGCATATTTTAAATATGCATTATGTAAGTAAAGGGGTTTTTTTGTCAGAAAACCATGAAAATACAATGTATTTATATTCAACTCTGGGCAAAAATTTAATAAAACATTGCAAAGGACTCATGTGAAAAGAAAATTAAAACAAACACAAAATACAAAATTGTTTAATTCTACCATCTGTTCACACTGAAAGAACAATAGGAGGTTCCCCATGTGTGCAAACCATTATAGTCTGAATGGCAGCAAAAAATAACAGCTTGTCATGTAAGTTCAATGTTCTCTATCATTTGAGAGACTGACTCTAGTGAAAACTTAGCAATATGAACTGAGCTGCTTTAAAGATACATCCCTTTGTTTAATGTTACTTTTACAGACATGCTGGCTTCCTCGTACCATATGTTACATCATATTCTTTACACGAACTAAAGTCCCATTACCATCTGCTTGATTTGCATGCATTTTTATGGTCATTAATGCTGACAGCTGTGTTCAGAAGCCACTGCCACCTGCCAAATGATAAATGTCTCGTGGAAAATATAAATGGTTAATATCATGTGACAAATATTTGTCTCAGAAGCCTTTCTATCTTGCAAGAGTCCTAGCTTAAGCTGCGCAATAGGCTACCAATAGGCTACCTTTCACATTTTCACATATTAGTTCTTTAAGGCTTTTGTGATAGATAACATCTGGACCTGATAATTTATTAGTTTTCTACTTGTCAATAGGGCTTAGAACTCCATCTCTTGTCATCACTTTGGGTCAGTTTATGTGTCATGAAGATTTGGCAGAATGGATTGTTCTGCAAAACACCCATGAAGATCCAGTCAGATGATTGGGTTCACTGGGTACTTCATGCTCTGCCCCTTTTTCTCCCTTGGTCCTTCAGGTGGTACCCCAGGGAACACTGTAAGAGCAGCAAGACCCTTTTCCACTCCATTGCTATTTTTAGCTCAGCACTGCTATTTTGCCCTTTTTAAAAATGGGGGGGGGGGAGATCAGGAAAGTCCCACTTGGGCAGTTGCCAACTCTACCTTCAAAGTGTCATGGTGACCTCTTGGATGTGCTGCTGGGAAGTGTTTTTAATTGGGTTTTTTAAATATTTGTATGCTCAGAAATGTGTGCACCTTTCTAATTTTTTATTATTATTATATATCCTAGAAGCACTAATGAGAGCATTTCAAGCCTCATCTGGGGCCCCATACAGGAAGTTCTCTAGTATGCCTTTCCCTGTACTTCTTTGTTTTTTTCAGATTTTATTATTTTCTCTGCAAATCTAAAACTAGAAACAACAGTTATTCCCAAGACATCAGACATACTGGGTTGACATCTTACTCTTTTTTACAATCAATAACCATATTCAGTTCTACTTATAGTCCCGTTTCTCTAACCAATAATAAACAGAGTTCCAAGTTTGATAGAAGTATGTATCTTCTTCAAAGACAAAGTCTATCTGTCCATTTTTGTGCAATCCAAAATCTTTTTTAAAATCAATTTTTCAGTAGGTGGCTCTTCATTCCTCCAGTGTTGGGCAAATGCAATCCTCGCCACGGTAATTATGGTAAGATCATATATATATATATTTTCTTTTTTAATATACATTCAGCACCAGCAGTCTGGTTTCAATGGAGTCCATCTCTTGTGTAGGTGTGGAAGAGGAAAACATCTGTCTGGTGTCAAAAATGTGTTTTGCATGCAAAATATTTCTACATGAGAATTTGGAATCAGACTGCTTTTGCAACTTTATTCGTGGGCTAGCAGCAAGATTACTGGCATATGATGCCTGAAAATGATCTAAATAATGTATCAGAATTTGGACCAGCCAACATCTTCGGACTGATTTTATTAGTGATACTTTACAGTAAGTTTGTTCATACTTACATAAATACTTAGTTGTGTCTCTGTAGCTTAAAATTTTGGAAGTAATTAGTTAGATTGTTGCTCATATAAAAAGATATCCAAAAGTGAGATACAATGTTTAATGGCTGTTAAGTTAGAAAATGGCAATTACTGTTTTCAAAGCTCTGCTTATCACCAAGGATGAATCTTGGTGCCAGCCCTGCTCATAAGTAGTTTCTTTCCTGCCAGATGTGACTGTTTGCCATCTTGGACATGATGAGCCAAAATTCTCATTGATTTTAATGATGAAAATACAAGCATTCTCTTGCTGATGGGATTGGGTCACACCCTTTGTTTTCGGTAGCAGCACTTTTCAATAACAGAGTAATGTAGAATTTGAATTGTGCTTTATGTTACTGTTGGCTGAACAGTAACTCTGTATCTAAATCTCACTCAGTTCAGTAAAATTTAATCTCAGTTGGATTACTCCCAAGTAAACGAGTCTAGGTTTGCAACCTAAAACTGCAATCCTATGCAAACCTAATTTGGGGCTATGCAGCACTAGATTGCTGAACAAACGTGCACAATATTAAGCTGCCTCAAACATATTCTGGCGCACGTTTTTGCGGATTCTAGAGTGCTAAATGCCTCAAAAGTCTATCGGCCTTTAAAAGTACGATGTTATATGTATATTTACTCAAAAGTGCCAAGAAACAAGGTAGGGGTGGAGCGCCTGTGTGTGATGCACAGAGACCACGAGGAAGTGGCTTGTAGACATGTAAATCTGGCAAGTTAAGCAGGGGGTGCTAGGTGCTGGCCCACGTTATCCCAACACAAACTGCAGTTGCCTCTTCTTTCACGTTGCCATCGAGACAGCCGCGCCCTGTTGGTGGCGAGGAAGGCAAGAACTCGCCCCACCTGAAGTTCTTGGCTGACCCGAGGGAGAGGCGGGAATCTCGCGCCTGGCCAACCCCTGGGCGAGGCCGGGAACTCACCCCGTTGGTACTGCCCCGCGAGTGGGCGGGCTGCGGAAGAGAAGGCCGTGCTGGCAACGGCGTGACTCCTCCCAGGGGGCCGGGCGGCCGAGCTATCGTGCAACCGTCTCCGCCTCCACAGCGGAGGGGGGAAGAGGAGGAAAAATCGGCGGCTGCCTACTCAGGAACTTACTTCCCCTTGCCCGCGTCCCGCTGGAGTAATGGACTAGAAACTTAGGAAGCGGCTGATTTGGCGACCCCAGCGAGCACGGCAAAGGGCCGAGGAGAGTCGCCCCTCGTCGTGGCCGCCTGCCTCCCAGCCGGACCCCTGAGGAAGAGGCAGGGAGGCAGCCCCCTGTCTTCTTTCAAGTACCGGAGATGTCCGGCGGGAGTAGCCGGAGGAGAACCGGCTCTTTCTGGCAGAGCAGCTTCTCCCGACTTTTCAGTAGGAGCCCCTCGAAGGAGCAGGAGGAAGGGGACAAAGCAGCCCCTCCGCGGCAGTGCGGACGCAGGTAGGGAAAGGGCGCGGGCAAGGCCGGCGGCTCAGTCGCGCCTTCTGGGCGAGGGCGTCCCTTCTCTCTGTCCCGCGTGCTTCGGTCCCTCGCCGAGTCGCCCCACCGCACTCACGCACGCCGCCACCCTCCTCCCGCCCGGCCTTGTCCTGTGCCAGCACTTGCGTGTCACCGCACTTTTTCTGCCTCGCCTCCCATCCTTTTTCGTGGGAAGAAGCGTTTCCCCGCTGCTGGAAAAGCCTGGGGACAACCCCGGAGCGGCTCAGGGCAGCCGCGCCAGAACGGCTCCAGATGGCGCAGGATGGCCCCCTGTGTTGAGAGGAAGCCTTTTCACTTGAGCTGGGACTCGGGAGATCCTGCTGCTACTCCTTACTCGACCGTGAAGCTCTTCCCGTGACTGTGGGCCAGTCAGTGACTCTCAGCCTAGCCTACCTCGCAGGATTGTTGTGAGGATGAAAAGAGAGGAGGAGCTCATGTAAGCTGTCTTGAGTTTCTTGCAGGAGGAAAAAAGTGGGGATACACATGTAGAAATAATAATAATAATAATAATAATAATAATAATAATAATAATAGGTAGTAGGTCTGTGATAGAGACTGGGTCAACCAAGACCACTGGATTGTTAAATTTGTAATTCTTCTCCTATGTTGCACTCTTCCCATCAACCCAAGAAAACAAAATCAAACCAGACTGATTTTGATTCCAAGCACTTTTTGTCCATTTGGAACAAAACATTTATCAAAGCCTCTTTGGTTTGTAGTCTGGGGGCAGTTAAACACATACTAACACTACCTATTAAAATGACACTTGCAAGAAGTAAGAAAATGGGTGAGAGTTCTTACAACAAAAAGCTCATATAGGGGCATTGCAGGACACACAGTGTTTTCCATATATGTATATTTTATTGTGAATAACTGTCATATACATTTTTCATGGCTAGTATGCAGATATTCTGAATGAATATAATACTATAGTTCTGGATAATAACAAATCTATCTCTGGCATTAAGAATTCTGCATATGGGCATTCTTAAATGTATGTGATATTATAAATATGGTCTCTTCTTTCTACTGCTCCCCCATCCCACTAGGCAATTTGGAGAAAAAAAGTATAGTTATGATTATCACTTTCTGTGATATAACATACCTATATACTGTTAGGATATGGCTCTCCTGGCCATGTCTATTCAGAAGTAAATGTCACTGGATTAATATATATAGGTTAGCAGGCCTATACAGTGGAATGGACATAAAGAGGTGCTCTTAATAATTAATGAATTTGCTAGCTTCTTTATAGTGCAGTACCTAAATTATTCTAAACAACCTACAGACCTCCTAAACAAATCTACATAATATTGCATATTGATTTTTTTAAATTTATGACATTTATGTATTCTGCCCCATAGCCTGAGGACTCTCTGGGCAGGTCACAGAATAAATAAATAAATAATAACTATTAACTACTGAAAATTAGATGCGAGTCTTAGATTTTAAAATCAGTAAAAGTTTCTTATACTTCTTTTTTCAATGCTCTGCTTTAGTGATCAGAACTTCTCTAGAGTGCTTTATCGGGTTAATAGGAAGCACCATATCTCAAAGTGGATTCTTTAATACTATTCTAGATCTTAGCTATAGCATAGTTAGATTCTAGTGATGGTTAAAACCAAAGAATAACCTTTATACAAAGTATTTTTTTATTTCTTCCTCTAGTCGTTACTGTTCAGGAAGTTGTAAGTCATAAACAGTTGTACACCTTGTTTTTGATGAGCAATGGCCATCATTAAGGTATGACAAACAATATGGAAGGTTACCAAGATTATTAATTCAGGTAGACCAAATTAATGTTTATGTAGGAAACAGTTCACAGATTGGGCACAGTAGAATTGGTGTGATACATGTAGCTGATATAAATTATTCAACATATAAGTGCTGCTGGATCAGACTAAAGCTTTATGTAACCCAGCATTCTGTTTCCTTGGTGGCCAACCAGAAGCCCTCAGACAGGACAGAAGACTTATAGTGCACTTTTCTTGAGTCCCCCATGCTGCCTCTGATACTTGAAGTAGCACATAGCTATCATGACTAGAAGCCACTGATAGATTTATCTTCCATGAATTGTCTAATCTTCCTTTAAAGCCACCCGGATTGGCAGCAGTGATATGGGGCAGAACATTTTCTGGTACGTCATTTAAATATGAATGTTTTGGTTTTGTAACATGAATAATAACAGTGAATGGATCCCAGTGGGACTAAAAACAATGGATTTTTGTTGGTTTTGCTTACAAAATATAAGTAAAAGAATCAAGAAAATGGATGATTTAATGGTTAAGCAGGGGTTCCCAACTCCTGGGCACATGAATATATTTGCGAATTTAGGAAACTGCTGTGTGCACCCTGCAAAATGCTTAAACATTGGATTGCTTCTTTGGTATCTTCCTATGCATCTTAGGTTCTGTTATCTTCAGCAAAATATTTGAATTTTTGTCTACTGGATGCCACAATGTAAGTTTAAGAAGGAATTGTCTAATTCATCTAATTGCTGGTGGTGTAATACAACTGATGCTTCTTTTAAACATGTTTTGGCAATTTCCAGTAGTTAACTGCTTTTAGAAAGGAGGCTATTATGCAGATAAATTTTGTATTGTAGCATTCTTTCACACTCAGTGCTCTGCTACTTATTTACTTGCTTAATTAAATTAACAAATAGAAAGGGGAATTAATTTTTTGCACCCCTTTGACAGCTAAGAACTTGATATTAAAACATAGGATAAGTATTCACCTGCTATATATAATGCAGTGCATGGAGGATTGTACAATGGTTTGATATAAGAATAGGTACTGGTATCTATAGCAGCTTCAGATGGTTTCTTATTCAGGTATTTGGGCCATTTTTCTTCAAGCCTATGTATAATTGCTAGAAAGTTGCATGCACTTCATATAAATCTGTGTGTGTGTGTGTTTTAAATGGGGAAAGTTTCAAGGTCCTCAATACCACTCAGGAGACCCCTTCACAGGTACTGGGTTGGGAATCCCTGCTTTAGGCCATCAGAAGATGTTTTGATGCAAACCAAAAATTATATTAGGCTATATATAACAGTTCAGTATATCCCAGAAAACCCATTTCACTAGATGGTGGACATTACTATATTTTGTAAGGGCAAGTTCCACAGTTTTGCAGTGTTCTATGTGAATAAACACATTCATGTTTCATTGGATGACCATAGGTTCTAGTACTATGAGAAAGACTGTGCACTTTCTTCATGTTTTCCCTCTTACTATTTTTCTAAGCTAGTAATCCCCAAGCATTTTATCCCTTTTTCATAGGGAAGTTGCTTTAGCTACAGCTTCATGATCTTTTTACTTGCCTTTTTGTGCAGAAAGTCATATAATTTTCTGCAATAATGGATAAAATGAAAGCTGTTTGTCTATGTACTATAATTTGGAAAGTGTTTCTAATATTTTTAACACAAGGAAAATGCTGATTATTATTACAAGGAAGTGCCATATACAAGGAAGTGCCATATACAAGGATTATTACAAGGAATTGCCACTGGGCATGGGTCAAAATTAAATTCATGTAAAAACAGCATTCTGCAGACATTGTAAACATAGGTGAGTGGTCGCACTTTATTGCATGTGGCTAGGCCTCCAGATTAGAGCCACATCTGTCAGCTTCATTGTGAACTGGATGTATATCATAATGGTCATTTATCTTGAATGCATATGCAATTCTCCCTGTTGGATTGAGGTGAATATTTTATATTTCTATGGGAGACCAGTTGTTAGACAACTTAATGCATATGATTACAGTGCAGTAGAAATACTTAGATGGCATGAGCATTTCTGTCTTTGATTTTTGTTAAGAAAAATGCAGTCTGGTATGCATGTATGGAGTGACACAGTGAAAACCAATGACTGCTGAATTCCCATCTCCCCAAGTCTGGGAATTATTGAAGCAAGTGTTAAGACAATATGTGTGGTGTTAATGAGGCCTTTGCAATCTTGTGAATGTCATTTGATTCAGATTATTGTAATAGATTTCACTTGTGTGTCCACTTTGGATGTGGCAAACAGATGTTACATATTTGAGCTATGCTGTTATGTTTGTAGTGTAAGCCCAATGTGGATTACTTAAGTTGTTGTGATCAGGTGTTCATAACACAGTGCTGAATATAACTATATAGTTATGCATATAGTACATGCACTATGCATGACAGTGCTGCATAACTATATGCAGTTAACATTCAGATAGTTTTTGAAAGACTAGTTATTTATTAAAAAAACCCCTCAGTTTTAGCTTCAGTTAACTGTGAAACTAACCAGCTTTTTTGTTATTTCAAGCTTTTCTTTTTCAATGAATGAATCTTTTTCCCTTTCTCTATTTTTGACTGTATTTCTCTATTTTTGACTGTAAACTGATACATCACTCAAGAGATTTAGTCCCATTGAGCACTATTATTTTCAATATACATTGATGTGCTGTTTAAAATAACAATGGTTTAGCCATATCCACTGAGTAGACTAAATGTCCAATTTTACTGTGTATGACTTGAAATGTGTTTTTATTTAAAAGCACATTTCTTTAGTTCAGGTATCTCTGACCTGGTGAGCTCTAGATATGTTGAATTACAACTCCCACTAACACTGGCCAGGATAGCAGGATTCTCCATTCTATCATGAAGTTGTAATTCAAACATTTTGAAGGCACCAAATCAGGAAAGGCTGCCCTAGTCCATGGGTACAGATATTGGGATGTAAATGTTAGTCTATGTTTGGCTAAAGATGAACTATATAGATTAAGCAACAGATAATCCAATAGTAAGATGAAGTGCCAGTCCAGTAGAGTTAGCATTCAGAAGAACCCTTTGGATGCTGCTGCTGTACTCCAGAATACGTTGCAGCAAAGCAGCAGATAATTAACAATGGATAATATATGTGTTTGCTGATTTTGTGAAAGCAAGCTGGCAAAAGTACCCAGGAAGCTACTCAGCCTCCCGAGTTCCCAAGGATCAGCAGGCTAGACCTTTTTATTGATGTTATCACTGTTAGGAGAAGTGGAAAGAAGATTCCTAACCTCTTCCAGCCAAACATATCTATGACTCTTCCTTTAAAGTTGGCCAATGACTACCATGTGTCTGCTAGCTTCAGCTGCTTGGTGGCTTTCCTGGTATTCTAAGACTATTACAGATGCTGTAACCATTGGCCATTTCAAAGACTTTCATGGTGTTTAACAAGAGCCTGACTGACTCCTATTAATTTGGGCAATATTTTCAGGGTTTCATTGGTGGAGAACCTCTTATGCCTGACCTCTACCACCAAATTTCTATCTTGGTTGTCAATAAGGCTAAACCAATGCTGCAGTGTTGAGCTATGGTCAAATGCAAATATAGGTCAGAATTTGTTGGGTATTATGGCCAGTATTCTTTTTTCAAATGTTTAACAATGTCGTGCTGTTACTTTATGATGTTTCAGTCTCAT